GAGGGAGGGAGAGAAAGAAACTAATACAAGGGAAAAAGTGATTGGATCAGAGTTCCAAAAGCACAATCCATAAATGACAAAAGTTTATCAATTGGACTTCATCAAATGGAAACTTTGCTCTGAGAAGAACTTATTAGGAGAATGAAAAACACCTTAAAGACTGAGAGGAAACATTTGCAAACCACATATCTGACAAAGAACTCATTGCCAGATCTTAGATCACAACAACAAAAAAATCAAATAATACAGTTAGAAATTGGGCTAACAACACTAACAAACATTTCACTGAGAATGACATACAGATAGGAAATAAATACATGAAAAAGATGTTTAATGTTATTAGCCATTAAGCAAATGCAAATTAATGCCACAATGAGATATCATTGCGCACCTATCAGAACAGTTAAAAAAAATAGTAAGAACACCAAATGCTGACCAGGATGTGGGAAAATTGGATCCCTCATACATTGCTGATAGAAATACGAAACGATACAGCCATTCTGGAAAACATTTTGACAGCTTCTTACAAAACAAACATACAACTACCATCTGACCTAGCAATTGCCTTCGTGAACATTCCTCAATCTCAGTCCTTTTCCAGTGTCTTCTAGCTCAGATGGCCACCTCATCTATTCAATCATGAAATCCTGGAGCCATCTATGGCTCCTCTGTCTTCCTCATCCCTCATCTTTCTTCCATGACAAAGTCTTCCCATCTGTCTTTCTCATTGCAGCAAGAGTGATCTTTTAAAAATGCAAGGATGATCATGTCACCCACTCCATTGCTTAAGGTGCTTCAATGGTTTCCTGTTGCTTTTTGGTTACAGAAGAAATTCTTCAATTCGATTAAAACGCCAGACACCGATATGACCACTGTCTGTTCTACAGAGGCTTCTAAATGCTCCCCTCCCACCTGGCTTCTTCCGGTGTCCAGAACATGCTCTTAACGTTTCCTGCCACAGATCCCTATACATGGTCTTTATCAGAAAACTCTCCTTATATGTAATTCTCACCATTCGACCCCATACCTGTGATGGCTCCCTCTGGGAAGACTTCTGTGTAAAGATTTGCCTGAAAGTTATACCACCTCTCCCTCTTCTCACATTCGTTTATGTGATCACTTGATTATTTTCTCTCTCTCTCTCCTCTACTCTCTGTCAGGTCCATAAGGACACCATGTCTAAGCGTGTTCCCATCCCCAACCTATTATATTACTAGTATAGTAATGTGCCTGGCACATAGGTGGTACTTGATCAATTAATGAATAAATGAATGGAAAGTCACCATGTAGAATATCTATTCATATTTTATGTAAAGGCTATTTGATGCACTATTAAGGAAAAACATTTAAAGTCGGTCACTGATCTCTCTGAATTTATTATATCTGACCTAAGATTTGGCCCATTTATAAAGTACACAAAGGCAGCCATACAATAGGGAAGAGGGAAATAATCTGCCTTTATAAACTGTAAGCACAAAATAGAAATTTTTTTCACATTGGGTATGAGTCTAAGTAGTAAACACTATTGTCAGACATGGACAGTGATGACAAGAGAGTCATCTCCCTTCCACAGAGTAAAGAAAAATACTGTGGAAAAAAACCAGAATTTTAGGAAATCTGAAAATATGAAAAAGAGTTTTGTATATCTAGATTAAAATATAAATTTGGAAAAAGAAAAAATTATGAAAGTTTCTTAACCTAGATCATATATATATATATATATATATTCATTATATATATATGTATGTATATATATATGTGTGTATATATATATATATATATATATATGATTTCATGGAGCATGAAAGAAAGTAGATGAGAAAGAGAGAAGTGAGGATTTTTAAAAATTATGTTATACAAGAATATGAGTTGATTTAAAGCACACAATGCTTAGCATACAGTAAGTTTCAACAGCTACTGGACCATCAAGAAATCCACATGCCAAACTGTACCCACTTGCAGAGCCACTTTGCTGCACACCTCTGGGAGACATCATTGGCCTTGCAGTCAATGTAAAAGGCACCCTCCACTTAACTAGAACACAGCCTGCATGGCCAAAACACTGAAGCCTTGTTGATGTACATGTTCAAAAGTTTCCCAAGTAGGCATCATTCACTTTCCAGAAAAGCAAAGCAGTCTATAAAGGGAAAAGTTAAATGATTTTTCTGTGATTGAACATCCCAAGGTCTATATATGCAATGGATCTAGGTGGTTATAATGGAGGGTAGACACTAGAAGGGGGGCATAAAGGATTGTTTCAGACACTATATGGAAAGTCTTCCAAATTAGATGCAAAGTTGTCATGAAAATTGATGTGATATGGCATTGCATAAATGCGCTCAGGGTGACTTGTCTAAATCCTTCAGTGTGCATCAGTTTATATTTAAATGACCTTCTGTAAAATTGCTTTCCTTACAATTTCTATACATATTCATGAAGACACACTGTCAGCACTGAAAGATAGCCAAGCAGAAAAGAGAAAAATCCTATTACACTAACAAGACAATTTCCTTGGTTAATGTAATCAGATAGTACAGCTGCACTCCTTGTTAATCTGAATTTAGTTCAAATAACTAAAGAGCTTTATTCACTCTGTGATAAAAATCAGACACTCGCAAAGCAAGTTTCTGACAATTCAAATAAATTTATTTTTGTAATAATCATTTAGTGCAGAAGGCCTTTTTAAAATGCACTGAATTGGTATTAGATCAAGATGAAATAAATTTGATTTATAAAAATGCACCTCATCAATGTCTTGCTAGGTTTCCACATAAGTATCATGTGGTGTCTGCTTAGTGATTATGCAATTTTTTACTTTATTTTTTGCTTTACTAGGAAAACTTACCAACCTAATTTGCCAATATACTTTTCAAACCAGATCATTGTAAGCCAGATTAATGCTTAAGACTGAATGACAAGAGGAGACAGAAGGGAAGAAGACTTTAATGCTAATTTGCCTAGGATTATTTTTATTATGAAAAAAGGTGACTGATGATATAAAACAGTGTTTCCCCAAGTGTTCTGATCATTAGACTTACCAAGGATGCATGTTTAAAAATAGGGATGCCCAGGCCTCAGTCCTGGAGGTTCTGATTCCTGAGACTTAAAGGGGACTCAGGACTGTATATTATGAAAAGAACCTAGAAACATTTTGGGTTGAGGCCAATTTGGGAAATCTGTAGTATCATGAAAAGAACAGTGGCCTACTCCTATTGATGTTCAAAACCCCAGGTTGCCAGCTCCTCTGTGTCCTCACCCACCTCATTATATCTGAGTAGGTCTAAATGTCCTTAGTTGTAAAAAGTTTTTTAAAAAAAGCAACAAAAATAAGAAGAGTTTGATTGAATCCACAAACTTCATGAAGACTGATGGATTCCACTCACTGTTCTATCCTCTGCACCTAGTCTGCTGCATGACGCAAAGCAACCTCCCTTGATGTTTGTTGACCACATGTCTATTTAGTTGAACTGCAAGGTTTTTGTTAGCTTTAAAATGATGTAATTCTAAAATAAACAATAAAACAATTAATTTGTTCCACTATTTAAAAATTATTAATTACTCTCAGAATAAAAGAATGCATCAACTGAAAAAAGACCCCTACACCCTTTCGTCAGGTGGCAAGTTTGCACAATCCTGGTGACCAAGTCAAGGTTGTGACTTGGGTAATTTTACCTCTTATCTTCCTGTCAAGGTTGTATGCTTAAAAGTAGTGATGGAGGCAGTTATCACACTGTTTGGCTCACAGTAGATGTTCCATAAAAGTAAGCTGAATCTGGGCAACCCAGCAAATTCCATATAGAACAATGCCAAAGAATAAGTGTTCTTGCTGTGTGGACAGAAGTTCTGATTTTTAGGATTTTTGTTACTTTTATCCTAAAACATACTGTGAAGTAACAAGTTCAGAATTGTTAGAAGTCTTCGCTAGCACATGTGTATAGTGCAGAAACAAGTGTTTTTGAAACTAATTGTGAAGGAAAATTAAATCCTGAAAACTCTATTTATAACATTTCAAACTTATTACAAAAGCAAAAGCTTTTATTTCTTTTTAAGAGTTTATTAAATTACACATATAAATACTTCCTTTCATCATGTATTTAATATAACTTAGAGAAGTGATTCTCAAAGGGTGGTCCCAATCTCAGTTGTACCAACATCATGTGGGACCTATTACAAATGCAAATTCTTGAACCCTGTCCCAGACCGAATGAAACAGAAACTCTGGGTGGGGGTGGGGGGCTGCAAAATCTATGGATGAACAAGTTCTCTGGGTGATTCTGATGCACAGAAAATATGAGAACCACTGACTCAGAATTAACAAGATAGTCAAAAAATGAGCTCAAAGAAAGTTGAATTCAACTTCCTATAGTATGATGTATTAGAACTGAAAGGGCTACATCACCCTCGTTAACTACTTGGAAACACATACAAAAAACTTTTTTTTTTCATATATGAACTCAACTTTCCTCTCTCTGGAAAAAAAAATCTTGAAATACTGATTCTGGAATTAAAAATGTAAACCACCACTTTTAGAATATTCAAGTCCTAATTTTTCAATTTTACAAATAAAATGCAAATGTGTAATAATATTACCAAGCATTACCAAATTCAGTTTTAATTGTTGAATTTTTAAAAAATGAGTACGCAGTTAAAAGACACAGAGGTTGTTTTTCTTCTAGTCCAAATGGCAATTCAGATTTAGAATTAGTGATGCCTAAGATTACAAGGATAACTAGACATGACGAATTTATGATTCTATGATCTATGTGAGACAAGCCTCTCAGCAACAGAGTTCTGAAAATCTTTAAAACTGTGTGCTCTCAGATATGAAGAAAGAGGGAGAGATTTTTAATTTGAAGGCAGTGTAGAAATGGGGGTGTTGGGGAGAGATTGTGATCCATCCACTGTCACATTCTTCCATCCCAAGCTAAAAAATGAGAGAAGACCAAAGCTTATAGAATCATTGCCCGGCGAACACTCTTCCGCAGCTGGAGAGAACTCTAGTCTTAAGGATGTTTTTCCAACATTTTTCCCAAACCCCAACATTTATCCAAAATAAAAAGGTTGACTTAAAAGAAGAAACAAATCATCCCAGAAGGGCTCAACAGCTCCTAGTCAGGAACATTAAATGGCAGCGAGCTGATGACCTCTCCAGATTCGGTGACAATGGCATCATAAACCCACCGTCGGTTGCAGCGGCACTCAGGCCCACACTTGTTGGAGTTACATTTGGGGCAGGGGTAGAAGCAGCCCAGGCAGTTCTTCTCTAGGCAGTCACACAGGTCAGCGTCATTACAAATTAGCCTGCCACTTTTGTCATACTTCTTCATTACTCTATAAGAAAAGAATGACATTCATATGACAGTACAATTGTCCTCAACATGGAGAATAAATTATTGTGCTGTGACTTCATATACACAGTCCTTTCAGTCTGAGTGAACAGCACCTTGGAAATGACCCGGAAACACTCCAGAACAGTAGGTGGCAGTGACGTCATGGGAATTTCAGTCAATATGTGATTGAACCATTTCCAGTGCAGCCAGCTTGTCATGGAGAGTAACTCTTCATTTTCCCAGCATTGCCAGGGAACATAATAATCCTCAAAGAATTATGAGGAATAAGCTGACTAACACTTCTTCCTATGTTACAATTTTTTCTTTAAAATTTAACTATTCTTGGGGCTGGGGATGTGGCTCAGCGGTAGCGTGATCGCCTGGCATGTGTGCGGCCCGGGTTCGATCCTCAGCACCACATACCAACAAAGATGTTGTGTCAGCCAAGAACTAAAAAATAAATATTAAAAAAAATTCTCTCTCTCTCTCTCCTCCTCTCTCACTCTCTCTTTAAAAAAAAATAAAATTTAACTATTCTTGATGGAATTTCACCTAATAGATTATACTCTTCTTTCTGATATTTTTGCAATTACATTTTTTAATGACTCAAAATGAGAACTATCAGTGAGTACATCATAATCATTTAAATAAGAAAACTCTGTCACTGACATTCTACAGGTACCACTTCTTTCCTTTCTGATGTCTTTTACCCAGTGGGAAGGAAGAATGCAGGTGACAGAGATGACAGGACACCACATCATAGGTTCTGAGTGAAGGCAAGGTACTCTAGTACCACAAAGACCACCAGAGTCCCCACCTCGCTGTAGATTCCCATGCTTTCTGTCAGTATCTGCAACATGGCCAAGGGGCAGAGACTTTCATAAGAATTTCGCCATCCCTTCCAAACCAAATGATTTTGAAATATGTAATTCCAACCAAGCTATTGGAAAGCCTTAGATAACAAAAACACCTCTATACGACTCAGATCCATTATTAGCAGTTGAAGTCCAAAAGGCTGGCCCTTCGTTGGTGTGGTCAAATTATGTACCTGTGTACCCTTTGTCTCCAAGCTGGCAAAACACCTGGCCTCTTCCTCTTCAGTGAGGTAATATAGCTCCACCCTGTCCCCCTTTCCTAATAAAGCATGGGTTCTTGCTGCATGATGTAACACTTCCACAGGGTCGTCTGAAGAGGATTTTCATCTAAGGTATGAGACCCTTCCCAAGCCCCACAGGAAATTCAGACAAAGAGATGTAAATTTTATTAAAGAACTGATAGTGAGTGGGTGGTCCTAAAACCAACAGAGAGTGTCTGTCCTTTCCTTTCTTTGCCTGAACTTAACACTCCCTAGCCTTTAATCAGAAATCAAAATGATTTTATGGTTTCCTGCCCATATGATACAATCTCTCATAAAATTCTCAACTACCCTACATATAAAAGTGTCTAAAATACACAGGCTCTATGGATAGATAATTATACCTTTGAAGTCCTCCTCATGTACTACTCATTACATTTCTCTATGACCACTCCAATAGGAACTGCACCTTGATATAAAGATCATGTCCTTTTTTTTACTTTTAGTTAAGCAATGTATGGATGTATCCCCAAGCATACTGAGATATTTTTCTGTAATTTTCCTTTTTATCCTACTTCACGATATGAGATTCTTCCATGATGGTACAGATTAGCTTTATTCAGATATTTTTACTGCTACATGTAGCCTGATCTATGAATATAGTACAGCTCATTTATATTTTCCACTACTGAACGTCATTTGAATTATTTACACTTTGTTTTTGCTGTTACATTGCTGCCATAAAACTTCTTGAACATGTCTTCCCTTATACATAATAAGACTTTGCCAGAATATGTACCAAGGAATGAAAATGAGAATCATAAGACACATAGGAAATGCCAAGATGTTTTTAAATAGTGGTTGTACCATTTAACATTCAATTTATGCCCCAAAGCTTCATCAACTTTTATATCATCATACTAAATTCTGCCTATCTGGAATGCATGGCCTTTCTCCAGAAGTTACTGATGAGGTTTAGTATCCACATTAGCTTTATCTTCTGTGAAATGTTGGTTCACTATTTTCTTTATTTTTCTATTTTGATGTTTATCTTATTTACTTCTAAGAGTCTTTAAATATCTTAGATTCTGATTTCTTATAACTTTTTCCACTTTGTGATTTTTCTTTTGTTGTTTTAAGGGCATCTTTTAATGATATGTTATTAATTTTTAAAAATATATATGTATTTTTTTAGTTGTCAATGGACCTTTATTTAATTTATTTATTTGTATATGGTGCTGAGAATCAAACCAGTCACACATGCCTGGCAATGCTCTACCACAACTCCAGCCCCATGTTATTAATTTTAATGCAGTTGAACTTATCAATTTTTCTTTTTGGTTTGCTTAGTGTGTGTGTGTGTGTGTGTGTGTGTGTGTGTGTGTGTGTTTGTAGTGAGG